AAATAGATCTTAAAAGCTTTTTATTTTTACAATCTGGCATGTAAGGTAATTACAAAAATAACGCCGATACTGTCGCGATGATTCAATTGCAAAACACGTATCGAATATCTAGACTTTTTAATCTCTACTCTAATCTAAATTCTTTAATTATTTTAATCATTTTAAAATGTAGAACATGCTTGTCAATTTTCTAATCTTTAATCTCTGTCTTTAATCTTCCATTTTTGCTTATACGGATATTTTAAATGAATTACAGTGTTTATAGAATAAAATAGTAATTACTTTCTAAATGACACCTTCTCTTAGTAGAAATCATAATAAAAATGTAATCATAGTTCCATATTTGACATTTAAGGATTTAAATAATGTTAAAAGGATTTAAGGTAAAAAGAGAACATGAAAAGTGTTTTGATGACGGCAGCTCTTCACTTTGATAAAATTTATGTAATAAAATTTATCTAAAAGCGTATTATAAAACGTAAAAGGAGAAATAAAAGAAGGAATACAATTTGTTACATAAAGCTCAGCTTAAAGCTCAGATTAAAGATTTAAATGCAATGTTGGAACAATATTCTAAAATGATCATAAAATAAAGCGGTATTTATCATCGCGCTTCCGTAAGCACAAGCAAATTCAAAACTACTCGTCACTTTTATCAATTCAGTGATTTCCAGCCGAGATTAGATAATGAAAAGAATAGAGCAAAGGTGACGTTCATAATAACGTTACTGTAGCATATTTTAATGTATGATATTATACGCTTACTTTCTTCAATTAACAATTTATATATAATAAACAAAATAGAATCTACAAAGATGAATAAATAAATCAAAATGTAAAATAAATAAAAAATATAAGTATGCATAATTTATAACTTGGATAAGGATAATCAAATAAAGATAATTAATAATAATACTATATTATTATTAATAAATATATCTGATAAAGAGAGAATAAAAAAAGAATGTCTAAAAAACTCTTGCTCGCTATAATGTAAGAGAATGTTATTAAATATTGTTTACTATTCATCACAAAGTAGCTGAATAATAAAACTAACTGTAGATGCGGTGTTTTAAAGATGATTAAAGAGTCTAGACATCTTTAATATGTGCATTGTAATTTAATCGTCGCGATATCATCCTTATCAGTCTTATCTTTATAACCATTATATGTGTGTTAGATAAAAACCTTGAAGAGAATTAAACATCGCTTTGTTTCAAGGAAACATCATCACGGTCTTGTTTGTCAGAAGATACTCGACGAGTAAAACAATATTGCTAAATATTCAATAATGTATATTATTCAATGACAAATATGTTTGAATATTAATCATACCAAAAGTCTTTCAGTACTTAATTATAACACGTAATGAGTAAACATTTTCATTAACTTTACACACATATACTCTTTCTGATGTATAATTAAAATATAAATTAGCAAGTATCAGTATTGAATACATAGAGATCAACTATACATGATAAAATAATAATAATAATAATAATTTCATCATAATATAAATAATACTAAATAATTAACTTCTAAAGGACAATCTGACGGGAGATAATATTATATAAGTTCTTTTTTGTTATTAATTTCGTCAGAAAAATAACAAAACCACAACAAGTGAGAAATTATCTCAAAACAAATTCAGATTGCGGTTGAACAATCTGATTACATTGTGAAAAGTATCCCGCTTGCTTACATTTCTTCCGCAAGTTAATCGATGAGTGCACTCTGCGTTATCATCAGACCGAAATAAAGATCCTATATAAATGGTA